AAAAAAAAAAAAACTATTTGGTGATGATACAATTAATCTGTGATAGAAATGGGCAATTGATGATTGATCAAAAGATATCAAGAATCTCTAAAATGTAATTATTGCAGAGTGGGCAATTTCCCCTTTGTACCCAAAGCTCCCGGGAACACAGCCTGCAAAAGGTATGGCCGCAGGGGATAAAAGCCGCGCCCTTATGCCTCACCATGCACACGCAGCAGCCGTTGTACCCTCCGCCGCCGCCCACGGCTACGCTATCCTCCACCTCCCCTCGGCCATCACCCGAAACGCACGCCGAACTCTCCAATCTCATCTGCCGATCGTTCTCCGCCAGTAGGGCCATCAACGACATCCTCACAGGCGGCTCCGCCCTCTGGGGTTGTGGTGAGCCCAAATTCTCGAATCTTTCGCTCGAGCGCCCCGGACTCGGACCGGGCAGAGTTGAATCGGTCAGATCGAACCGGGTCGAAGGCCGACGAGTCATCACCATCATCTCCCGGTGGTTGCCTCCGAGCAGGACGGGTGCGGTAGAGGACCAGGCGGAGCCGCCTCTGGTACGGAGGCCGATCTTTTCCCTCAGCTGCCGCCAGCTCCGCCGCCCGTCTCTCGGGCCGGAGGTCTGGTCCTCTCGGATTATGTCCAACAGCGTCCGGTTCGACTGGACACTCTGCAGCGGCGGCTCGTCGGTGGGAGGAGCCGGTTCCGGCGCAGTAGATCTCCTCTCGCTGAGGATGGCGAGTAATGTGATGCCGGAAGGGCTGTGGCGGCTGCCTCCTGCGACGGTTGTTGAGGTACTCTGGTCGAGATTGGCTCGGCGATCGTCGTCCTTGATTCGCAGAAAGTCTCGCAGGTTGTGCGAGTCCAACTTCTCGGCGGCGCCGACGAGCGCCATTGTATGTTAACGCAATTGAGTGAATCAAGAATTGAGATTATTTTATTACTGGCACAGGAGAAAAAGAAAAGGCGAAAGACAAAAGGAAGCTTATTTCTATAAGAAAAAGAAAAAGAAGAAATTAATTAATACAAACGAACAGTACTTATTTCTTGGGGAATCCAAGAATGGGAAGCTTCGCTTCACCAAATAAATGTGAAAGATTTATTGAAATTCGAAAACGATAGTAATAAATAATTTCGAGAAATTAAAACAATCGCAGATCTGCACGATTTTCATTCATTGCAGAGAGAGAGAGAGAGAGAGAGAGAGAGAGCAGTAGTAAGTAAAATTTGGGAAGTCTTTGGTGTGTAAGCAAGCAAAGAAATAGATTATAGATCTGAAATGAAAAGGCAGCAGCACTCGAATTCGTAGATGATTAATATTTAAAATTACTGATAAGTGATAAATCAACGAAAGAGATGGAGAGTGAGGAGATCCAATGATTTGATTAATGCGACCAGAGATTTATATATAAAACAGTTTTACTCTTGAATAAGAGAGAGAGAGATGAGGAGAGAGGTGTGGCGTATGGAGATAAGATGATAATATAACGACAATTTCCTCTAAAATCCCGAATCCATAATTCATTTTCCTTCTTAGTCCCCTAGTTTAATTTTCTTCCTCTACACTCCCCATCACAACATTCTTTTTCCTTTTCACTCCCCATATAAATACTAAATATATTATTATTCATTTATTTTGTTGAAAAATCATAAAACAATGGGAAAAAATTGAAAAGCTCTCTTTTCTCTCTCCCTCATTTTCTCTCTCCCCTACAACCCTAGCACAAACCTCCGTCGCAAATCCACAATTTTCAATCACCACCGGCGGCTCCCCCTTCAGCTTCTCCTCCTCCGTTGGTTGCCGCCCCCAACTTCGACAACCTCCTCCTCCAATCCCTCATATCGCGCCTCACTTCCGGCTGCCCCACCAGCACCCCTTTTGCCGCCGCGAACTCGCTCGAGGACCTCCTCCTCAACCTCTCCGATTCCGATTCTGAAAACAACCTTTCCTCCTCCAATCTCACGAAATGACTTGCAGTGGCATTGAGAAAGAGAAAGAAGAATGAGTAAGAAACCCCCCACATTCTCGGCAACCTTTAGGGGAAAAAAATGGATAAAGCCAGAAAATCAACATCAGGCTTGACTGATCCAATTGAACATCTGCCTCTGGTACGTCAGACCCAGGATAAAAAAAAAATCTCGCCAGGAAGGAGTCTAAGCTCGAGAAGGAGATCGTCCGCACGATCTCTCTGGCGAGGTCGAGAAGTGGAAGCATAATTTTGGCCAGGCGGTCTCGATCGGAGACCACCACGTCTCTGTGTGGGGTTTCAGGAAGAGGTCGGGTCGGGTTATTGGAGCTCGGAGTGGCACGGGCACATCATGCTTTTCGATGAGGAGGATGGAGCTGGGAGTGGCACGGGCACATCATGCTTTTCGATGAGGAGGATGGGTACACGCGGGAGTATATATATAAATACTGTAATTACATCAAGAGGGATGGTTCCAGCAAGAGGAAAATCACCAGCAAGGATAGAAAGAAAGTTGATGTTGTTGTTAATGATAATGGTGATGAAGAAAAGGCCAAGCAGGAGGCTGTGAAGGAGAGGAATGGCAGAAAGAGTTGATCGAAAGTCGAGTAGATTCGGGTGGCGTTTAGATCGTTCGCCGGAATATGAATGCGGAATCCGGGTCACCAAGGTCTGTACAAAGCGAATGCCCTCTACTTTTTTACGGGTTAATCAATTTTCTATTTTGAAGTTGAATTTGGTGAATAATCTTAAGAAGTATAATGCTATTTACAAGAAGAGTTAGCTTTAGAATTTAGAGAGATGGTCTTCAAGTGTTTTGTGCAATTTTATTTTTGAAGCATGTAGTTTTATATTCTTCATATCTAGTTTGTTATAATTGTAGACAATCAAATTTTGAGCCAATTAAATGGCGACAATTGTCAAATTCCATGTCAAAATTAATTTAATAATTTTCTATTTTATTTGGGAAATTAATCAAATTTTAATTCCTAAATTAAATAGTTAATTAATTGATTATTTAATATATATTGTTGGCCAATTAAAGATTGTCACATGTATATTTTGATGGCCAATTAAAGAATGCCACATGTCATTTTCTTGGAGAGTAAAATAAATATTTATTTCTTTTAATAATTATTAAAGGGATAAATAAATGGAAATTCATGGACCAATCAAATTGAAGTCTTCTTTTCCAAGACTCTCTCTTCTAATTATCTCTTTAAATAATTATTATGAGATAAATATTGGAAATTATGGACCAATCAAATTGAAGTCTTCTTTTCCAAGACTCTCTCTCCCAACACCTATAAATAGGGGCTCTCTCTAAGGTGAAAAAAACACAATTCATATTCAAGTCCACAAGTCATATCCAAGTTCAAGAGCTCTAGAGAATTCTCTCCACAAGATTCAAGAGTTCTTGAAGATCCAAAGGCGTTCTTCAGGATTCGAGGAAGATCCAAGCACGTTCAAGCCCAAAACCGACATTCAATCCGGAAACAAGCTGCCAAGCCTCCGAATTGTGTTATTAAAGTTCAAGTGTTTTGAAGATTCAAAGGCCTTCTTGAAGACCCGAAGGAAGATTCAAGCGCATTCAAACCCAAAATCGACGTTTAATCCGGAAACAAGCTGATAAGTCTCCGAATTACGTTATTCAAGTCAAGACCAACGTATTGAAGATCAAAATTAACTTTGCGGCGAAGACCAAGGATTCGTGTTCTTCACGTTCTTGGAAAATCACGACGTTCGATTCGAGATCAAGCTATTAAGCCCTCGAAGAAACGTTATTTAAATCCATATTCAAGACTGGCGGAGATCAAATTGAAGATTCGTCTCCAAAAGTCTCAAATCCATTTGAAGATCGCTCTTGAAAAATTAATCAGAGGAATAATAGAGATTTGTAGTCCACTATATTTCATTTGATTGAAATCAATTTGTACGAAGTTCTCGTGTTTATTAATTCAATAATACAAAATTTTACGTTACAAATTTCTGGCACGCCCAGTGGGACTATCTCTACCTCTATTCTTTTTTTTTCAAGATATCTAAGTGCAACGATGACACCTCCCAAGTCAAATTCTTCAAGTTCTGCAAGTGAAAGTATTGGTGTCGTAACAAGAAGCATGACAAAAAACAAGGGTGTATCTTCAGAAGAAAATTCTCACCAAGTTGAGAAAAATCGGCCGCATTTGATGAACCAAGAGGAAGATTTGAGAGACGATGCTTCATCAACACCTTTCTCAATGGAGGCACATGTTATGATGACGAATGCATCAACCATTGAAGAGCAACTTGCAACCATGGCAAAAACAATGGAGTCGTTAATGAAACATGTCCAAGAACAACACTCCACAATTTTAAAGTTGCTAGAAAGGGTCGAAAAAGCTGAGACTAGCCGTGCTGGGGGCAAGCAAGATGAAACACATGAGGATGAAGAAACTTCTAAAGAAGATGAGGTGAAGCAAACTGAAAAAGAGAAGTCATCGTCAGAAATCCATGTTTCTTCAAGTGGACTCATACCAACTGACCAACTCAAAGAATTCATCATGGGAACCATCAAGGAAAAATTTGATGGAGGCTCTAAGTCATCTTTTTCTTATTCAAAGCCATACACCCAGAGGATTGATAGCTTGAAGATGCCTACTGGGTATCAACCACCAAAATTCCAACAGTTCGATGGTAAAGGTAGCCCGAAACAGCACATAGCTCACTTCATTGAGACTTGCAACGATGCTGGAACATATGGAGATCGTCTGGTGAAGCAGTTTGTTCGATCACTGAAGGGAAATGTGTTCGAGTGGTACACCGACCTAGAGGCGAATTCTATTGATAGTTGGGAACAACTAGAGCAAGATTTTCTCAATCGCTTCTACAGCACACGAAGGACGGTCAGTATGATTGAGCTCACTCATTCAAAGCAGTGGGATGAAGAGCCTGTTACTGACTACATCAACCGATGGAGAAATTTAAGCCTCAATTGTAAGGATTGACTATCTGAAGCTTCAACTATTGAAATGTGTACTCAAGGGATGCATTGGGGTCTTCGGTACATTCTGCAAGGAATTCAACCAAAGTCGTTTGAATAGTTGGCCACTCGCGCACATGATATGGAGTTAAGCATGTCTGCAAGCGGAGTCAAGAATCCACCTGTCCATGAGCCTCAAAGATTCACTGACCGAAATGAAGCTACGAAAGGGGGCAAGTTCTCCACTGCAGCGTCTAACAAAGATGTAAAGGAAGTTATGGCAGTCAATGCAAGACCCATCAAACTTAAGGGACACACAAGTGAAAAGGTTGTGAAAAAGAAAGAAGTCCCTCAAGAAAGGGGGCAAAGAAAATTAACCCTGAAGGAGATGCAAGCCAAAGAATATCCTTTCGTCGACTCTGATGTTTCTGGAATTTTTGACAATTTGATTCGTGAACAACTTATCGAACTGCCAGAGATGAAACGACCGGAAGAAGCATGACAAGTTGACAATCCAAAATACTGTAAGTATCATCGTCTGGTGAGTCACTCCACCGAAGATTGCTTTGTCTTCAAAGACAGAGTTCTGCTGCTGGCACGACAAGGCAAGATATCGCTTGAAGAAGACAAAGGGACTGCGAACTTTGCTTCAATTGTGACCTGTGAGGAAGGATATGAAAGTTTCGCTTGTAATGTTACGAGTGAGCAAGATGATGTCCCAAATGATGAGGAGTCGACTGATGACAAAGAACGATGTGACCCTGAAGATAATGATGCAGCAGTCACTTTTACAGATGAAGACTTGATGTTTGTCTCAAAACCCCATAATAGGCTTTTATTCGTAACTGGTTACACTCGCGAGAAAAAGGTGAATCGCATATTGATAGATGGAGGTTCTGCTGTGAACATTTTATCTCTGCGTACTCTAAAAGAGCTGGAGGTCCGGACAGATGAACTCTCAAATAG